AGTACAACAAATGAAAAAAATGTAACGTCGAGGTCAAAAATCTGTCCTTAATGTTTTCGCAGAATGTATGTGAAACGTTCGTGGATTGAATTATGATTATGCTCTTTCTTTATACTAGAAAACATGATGCGAATGTTTAGTTAATACGCATAGTTATGTTGCTACCAGCTACAAATCATCATCACACTTGAATTATAATATTAACATCACAACACACAATATATTTTCCCAATATACTGCTGAATAATTATTGTAATTTTGTCATTTCTTATTTCTTTTATGTTATTTTCTTCTTCATCTAGTACAACTTTTGCTCATATTTTGTACCATATTCCATTTAAGCATTTCTCTACTAACTTTTAACCAAGAAATATCATTCTTTTCGAACTATTACGAGCTTCTTTATATCAATGTTTTGTTATCAGAGATAACATTATAACTATATAATAGATATATACATTTAGTGAATGTATAAAAATTTTATCCTTAAATTGAATAATGTCATCCACAATTAATAAAATACATATTATACATATTCATTATTACAAAAATTTAACTTAAAAAATAAATATTTTATCATTAAATTTATCAATTTCTCTCAAAAATTTTCAATTTTTACAAATCTCGGATGTGAATTATCAGTTTATAATAAAAAGTTAATTAAATCTCTAAATTAAATTAAAAAATAATAATTGTTAAACCAACAAACTACATGTATAAATAAAAAAATTTCTTATTGAATTTCGAAATACGACATATTTTTATGTAATCAACTATCTATATTAAATATAATTTAAATTTAAAAATAAATGTAAAACCTTTTGCAGATAAAATAAAACTAATCATTGAGACTAAAACTAAAATCCAATACATTAAAGTATGTCACAAACAAATTGTATGTTATCTGTTTATAATAACGGTAATTTTAAAACCCAAATTCATGTAAGTAAATAGCTTCTAATTAGAGCACATTTATAATTAACTCAAACTCAAACAGTTTATACATATTTTTCTTATATACTAATAACAGTAATCTAGCGAGAAATAGAATAACAGTCGAACATAAACAAATTTGAACTGGAATAATTCTACCAGATGTTGCAGATTCACATCGATAAAAATAACATCAAGCTTACTTCAGTGAAATATGCATTTATAAAAAGAGAATATAACTAAAAAAATCTGTCTGAATAATAGTAAACATATCACATAAATTGAAATAAAATTGTATATTGAGTTTAAGTAATAAAAAAAATCAGTGTTTTGGCAGCGTTTAGTGTAAATATAATATGTTAATGTAACAAATCATTTCCATAATGTT